TTTTTCCAAAATTCCCAAAGTTTGGTGTGTCTAACTTGCTATAATAGCAGCCAAGGACGTTCGCTATCTTATTTGTTTGTGCTCTGATTACACAAGTGTCCAGGTCCACAGTTTACACAGATGACTTGATGTTAACATTGTCAGAAATGCTACAAAAAGGTAGCACATCGTTGGTTTATATTGGGCAGAAATGTGCACGTGAGGGCGGTAAATCGTGAATTTAATAAAAACTGTTGCACCTACAAACGTATTCAGTCCAAATGGATCTAAGTGCTAAAATGACTACAATGTAAGTGTATTGATCACCTTATGGATGCTGTGGCCTTGTTTTAATCTGACGTCTAGAATCTGAGCAAAACTATTTCTGACGACCCTAATGGTAACGAACAAACACCCATCACACCCCCAAAGCATAAACACTCACCTATAAACAAAAAAACTATCAGATTATAATAAGATCATATTTCTCCCAAACAAGCCCTCTTCTCTGCTCCAAGCTCTCTCTCTGTGTGCGTGTTAGGGTAGGATGAGCTGGGCAGATGTTGACTCTGTAATTAAATCATTATCCAGTAATATGTTGACATCACATTAACAAGGTTGTTTTTAATGACTCTCTGTGTGTATGTGTAGACAAACACACACAGCTGACATGACAAACACACTAGAAGCCAAAAACAGAAACAGCTGGAGGAACACACACACACACACACACACACACACACACACAGCTGTTTGTTTTCAGTATTCTCAAATAGGGAAGAGAAAATAAGAGAAACTGAGGGAAGAAAGAGAGGATAGGAGGAAAGGAAAGGGAGGATAGGAGGAAAGGAAAGAGGATAGGAGGAAAGGAAAGAGAGGATAGGAGGAAAGGAAAGGGAGGATAGGAGGAAAGGAAAGGGAGGATAGGAGGAAAGGAAAGGGAGGATAGTTGAAAATGGAGGAGAGACAGGAAGAGGAGGAAGGGACAGAGAGGGCACAGGAGAAAGGTAGCCTCGGAGGGAGGGGCAGTAGGGGAGGGGCATGGTGTGTCTGTGTGCGTATAATAATCTGCTCTAATCCGGAGCGTGTTAACCCATCTGAGCAGTCAGAGCAGATTATCCCCCTAACAATGGCCTGACCTCATCTGCTAAATGACTCCACTAGAAATCATATGCTGTCCCACACTTATACAATCTATATGCAGGACCCTCCACAAAACAAAGAATTGTGGGACAACGTCCACCCATACCTTAGGTACCTTTTCTGCCCTAGGAGAGATGGAGTGTGTTTCCATGAGAAATAGATCAATAAAGAGGAGGATGTATAAACTATACCATGAATAGCTGAAGAACCTCTGGCCCCGGGGATAGAGTAACCCATCACAAAATTAAAGACCCCCCCCCCCCTCACACCCACAAAACACACAAACGGCCCATAATCCCCTAATCCAGCTCAGATTGAGAACACCTTAAAGATGTGATTTCAATTTGAGATTATGGTGAAATGATGATTGAGAGACAGAGGGGGATTAGACGATGGTATGGGGGGGGGGGGGGGGGGGGGGGGGGGGGTTCTGCAGTTTGATTCTCCCTAAAGTGTACACTCCATTCACTGTTCCTCCATGAGGGGGAGTGAGTGTCCACTTCCAGAAAAACAAGTGAAAATTGGAATGCACATAAATACGCTAAGGTATACACAGACACACACAACCCAGAGACAGTGACCACTGGTCCTTGGCAGGTATTTTATTTAATATATAGACGCTTTCTGTAATCAAATGTGAGTGCAATCAAACAGCAAAAACAAACATTACCGATGTAGTCTGAACCAGGAACACAGGGTTAACACTGGGACTCTACCTGGGTTAAAGGTACATTCCACAATTTGACTTCATCATACAGCGGGGCAGCACTCTGCTTTAAAGAAAACAGCAACAGAATATTAATAGCGTCAGTTTTGGCAGATATTAATTGTGTTTGTGATTTCTGTAACCAGGAAGTTGCCCTGTAGTGTATGATGACGTCACATTGCGGGGTGCACCTTTAAACTAGAAGCCTGGGGGCCAATCGAGTCTACCAGGGGGTATGTTGTCACAAAGCAGGATCAAATGTTTAGGTAACGTTCCTAAATAATCTCAAACTCCATATTACCTAGTTTAAAGAGACAGATTTGAATTCAACTTTTAGCTTTCGTAATACTATGTAAAATAGACAGGTACGCGGGACTGTTGATCAAAGTGATCACGTTAACTATTATTGATCCTGCTTTGATCAGGGGGCAGGGCAGAGTGGCAGGGTGGGGAGTAGGTGAGATGGTGGGGTCTAGGAGAGGTCTGTTTTAGACACAGCAGGTCCAAGTGACACCCTAACCCCCGATCCCTCCCTCCCGCAGTCCAGCCAGTGACATCACACAGGATGACATCTTCACACAGAACCCACTGCCTCAGAATCCACCATTGTGAGGTCATCCCCACCTGAGAGAAGAGAGTTATAGTCCTCTGCTGAATCCCAAACCAGTCCCTTGCCTCTACCAACTCACTCTGAGATCCCTCCATTGTCACACTTGCTGACAAAACCGAGGCTGATTTTCAGCACGACGAAGGGTTCAATGAACCCCATCAACTATGGGACACACTCATGACTTGAATGACGCAATTCATGTTTATAAATTAAATAAGAGCATGAAATTCTAATTGAGAAATTTCCCATCATTTCACAAGATATAAATCGTAGTAAGAGTTGAACATTTAATTTGGGAGGTATTTCATTATTAGATTTCATTACGTGTCACGCCTCGAAATCAGACAAACAAATGTATGTGCCATATAATTAGACACGCATTTTCACAATTTATGAAATTAGGCAAACTCCAAACATGTCGTGGTGGGTGTTGGCATACTACTTTGCTGTGAAGTATCAAAGTGTGACGGAGGGTCGAATTAGCCCCTAATCCCTCAATATTTTCACTCCCTCAGCTTCGGGAAACTTGTGCATATGGCGGAGGACGAGGGGGAAGGGACTGGTTTGGGACTCAGCGCTCCTCTTCTCCTTCCTTTATCTGACAACAAACAGAGGAAAGAAAGATCAGAAAACTCCATCCATCAGCAGGAGCCAATCAGAGGCGGTCAGGTGGGATCAGTTTTGACCAATACCTGTCCAGTAGCTGTGGAGTTGAGCAGAGGGGGTCGTGAGGGATAGAGGGGTCGTATAACTGTCAACATGTAGCACGTGGACCCTCCTCTGTGTGTGTGTGTGTGTGTGTGTGTGTGGTACATGCATGTGCAGGGTGTGTTGTGTAAGGTTGAAGGGTGTGTGTGTGGTGTGTGTTCGGGCGGTTGGGGTTGCCGGGCAGCACAGAGTCCAAGACAAGAGCCAGATTGAACCAGTCTGGGTCCTGGTCCCCACCTCAAAGCTTTCTCTCACACACATACACAAATACACCTCAGGTCCTCATGTCCGTATGTAGTCAGGTGATCAATGTCAACAACATCAACAAAAAAAATAAAACACCAGAAAACCTGGAAGGTAAAAATCATCTTCTACCATCCTGATGTTTCAGCAGTCCTTAAAACAACCGCAACACCTCCAAAAACACACTCCTCCCAGGTAAAAGCAGAGCGTGTGTGTGTGGGTGTGTGTGTTCGTCCTCACGCACACGCACGTCGTCCACTGGGCGTGTGGAGGAGGCAACTCCCCCTCTGGGTGGCTAGACCAATCACAGGAGGAGACCGGGGTCGCTGTTACCACGACTACCAATGGTCCTCCAGATCACACTGAGAGAAAGAAAGAGAGAGAGAGAGAGAAAGTGTTTATGAGGCATAGGAAATACAATACAAATCTGATGTTATTTACGTACTGGTGTTGAGAAGTGTGTGTGTATGTGGATCAGGAGTTGAGAATGTGAGGGGTCGATATGTGGGTCAATCTGTGGGATGAGTCGAGCTTGGACTCACCTGACGGTGGCCTACAAGTCTCATACTAGACCATATCCCATTTAATATAACATTTGTACTGAGTATGTTATAAATGGCAGGATGCCATGTAGTAGGAATTCACTGTACACTCTTCAGCACGTGAAGAGCCATTTCCGACCCACAATGGAATATTTACAGGAAAAAATGTTTATATACCAGAACAGAAAGACAGTCAGACACCAACCAAATCTGACACACAAGAGACAAACCAAATCAGATACAGATCTTAGCATTATTTTTTAAATCAAATCACTTATTTATTATTTTACTTGTTCACAAATCACTGTATGGAACAGATTCAGCCCCCCACCACACACACAGACAGACCTACACATTACTATACTTGTGTGGACTTTGGGGACCAACAATTGATTCCCATTCAAAATCTTATTTTCCCTAATACTAAAGCTAACCACTAACCCTAACCCCTAAGCCTACAAAAGTCTTTTTACAAGTGAGGACCGGCAAAATGTCCTCACTTCTCTGAATTTTAGGTGGTTTACTATTCTTGTGAGAACTTCTGGTACTCACAAGTATAGTAAAACGTGTACACACACACAAACCATCATATTGTGCCTTGTTGCCCTCATACACTAAGTACCACATTCATCAGAGAGAAATGCAGCTCAGTCTTTAGAAACACAACAATGATAGCGGACACACACACTTTTTGCAAAGTTAGTATTTTAAACTTTTATATTTTGAACTTTGCATTCTTTTAGAACATTCTACCAAACACACACACTGGCATGCACAGACTCTCTCAAACGGACGACCAGACAAACAGGCAAGACAGACAGATGGTTTTTGGGAACTTGTGCTTTTATAACGCCAGTCCAGTAGATGAGCGGCCTTCTCTCGCTCAGTCAGATAGAGGTCCAGACATGATAGGCCCATAGACTTAGACGACTCATCTTTGGGGTGGAATCAGTCACAACACATCAGAGATCAGGGGTCAATCTGGAGGGGTGGGAGGAGGGATCTGGTTGGTCGAGGTCTGCAGCTAGAGGATCTAGTTGGACAAACTCGGAGCTGCCGGAGAATCTGGTTAGCCGATGTCTACCGCCGGAGGATCTAAAATCGGCCAATGTCTACCACCGGAGGATCTGATTGGCCGATGTCTGCCGGAGCTGCTGGAGGGGCCGTGCCTTTGCTTTCCTCTGCGTCCGGGAGGGTCTTGCATCTCGACAACGGTGGGTGAAGGCGGGGGAGAGAGGGGGGAGGGTGGTGGGGAGTCAGGGAGGTAATCTGCGGTAAAGCAGGAGGATTCCTCCTGTGTGGGCTGTATTTTCCCCAGGCAGACGTTAGACGGCCAGAGCTTCCTCCAGCACTGAGTGATACTGACCCCGGTGGTACAGGCGGAACATACGCAGCGCCTCCAAGAGGTTGGCGGTGTTACTGCTGCCTCCTCCCTCTCACCCTCAAACTCCACCTCCCCAGCACAGGCCTGGCCCGGGCAACACCATGCCACACACACACGCACGCACGCTAGCGTCAGACACACACACACACTCTCCACTACGAGTCCCAACTCCCAAAACAGAGTAAAGACAGACTAGACTACGCCATATTGCTAGTTCATGTTTTTAAGATGTCCCGGGCTTTGGTGTGATTTTCTAAAAGGTTGGGACATAGCAGGAACATCAGGGAGCAGTATTAATGTCATGTGAAACAAAGTCTCGACTCTCAATCAAATACTCAATTTTGATCACGTTTGGTATTTGACGGTCCTCGAAGCCCATTCACACCCCAGCCCAGAGGGTGGTGCTGTTGTGACTGGAGTGGGTCATTGTGGAGGTGGGAGGTCACGGGTCAAAGAAGAGTTACTCACCCCTTCCTCTTCTCTGTGTGGGTTCAGCCTGCTGTACACCGCCTCGATCACACTGCGCCTGAACACACACACACACACACACACACACACACAGATTAGACATTCTCGTTTGTGTGCATGTGTGAAGATTGATTGATACAACTTCTCAATCAATCACGACAGTCTTTTTCATCCTCTCATAAAGTAAGAAGGGTGAGACGTGTGATTTGAAAAGAAAATGGACAATAAAGTATTTTTCTTCTTCAGTGTGAGTGTGTGTGCGCGCGGGAGTGTAGTATTTACTTGCTGGCCAGGCCTCCTCCAGGCGGTAGGTTGGGGATGTTCTCAGAGGCGATGTTCCTCAGAATACACACCAGGTCAGGAACTCCCTCTTCCCCACAGCCACCCAGCAAGTCTATGGACAGACACAGGGTTAGAGTGGAAACAGAATGATGGACGGCCGGTTGCCTCTGAACAGATTCTACATGTTGAATCGGCGCCAACAGCCATCGCTCGCTAAAACACACAGCTAGCGATGGGGCGGCCACTCGCTGCTTTTAGCTCTTCGTCGGTGCAGTGTGTCCAAGCTCTCAGAAAGGACGTGGGTGTATCTGTGTGTTCTCACCCTCTACACGTGTCTCCAGGTATTTGTCCAGTTCCTCCTCTTTCTTCAGAGCTTGTTCAGACACCTTGGGAGCTCCCGGTAAAGTCACCAACACCACACTCATGTTATCTCTACTGCCCTGGACACACACACACACACAGAGAGACAGAGGGTTAGTGTCATATCAAATCTTATTTGTCACGTGCTGAATACAACCGGTGTAGACCTTACCGTGAAATGCTTACTTACAAGCCCTTAACCAACAATGCAGTTAAGAAAATATTTACTAAATAAACTAAAGTAAAAAGAAAGTAACACAAAATAACAATAACGAGGCTGTATACAGGGGGTACCGGTACCGAGTCAAAGTGCGGGGATACAGGTTAGTCAAGGTAATTTAGGTAATATGTACATGTAGGTAGGGGTAAAGTGACTATGCATAGATAATAAACAGAGTAGCAGCAGGTGTCAATGCAAATAGTCCGGGCAGCCATTTGATTAACTGTTCAGCAGTCTTATGGCTTGGGGTAGAAGCTGTTAAGGAGCCTTTTGGACCTAGACTTGGCGCTCCGGTACCGCTTGCCGTGCGGTAGCAGAGAGAACAATCTATGACTACGGTGGCTGGAGAATATTTAAGGCCTTCCTCTGACACCGCCTGGTATAGAAGTCCTGGATGGCAGGAAGCTTGGCCCCAGTGATGTACTGGGCCGTACGCACTACCCTCTGTAGCGCCTTGCGGTCGGATGCCGAGCAGTTGCCATACCAGGCGGTGATGCAACCAGTCAGGATGCTCTCAATGGTGCAGCTGTATAACTTTTTGAGGAACTGAGGACCCATGCCAAATCTTTTCAGTCTCCTGAGGGGGAATAGGATTTGTCTTTCCCTCTTCACGACTGTCTTGGTGTGTTTGGACCATGTTAGTTTGTTGGTGATGTGGACACCAAGGAACTTGAAGCTTTCAACCCGCTCCACTACAGCCTCATGGATGTGAATGGGGGAGTGTTCGGCTCTCCTTTTCTTGTAGTCCACAATCAGCTCCTTTGTCTTGCTCACATTGAGGGAGAGGTTGTTATCCTGGCACCACACTGCCAGGTCTCTGACCTCCTCCCTATAGGCTGTCTCATTGTTGTTAGTGATCGGCATACCACCGTTGTGTCGTCGGCAAACTTAATGATGGTGTTGGAGTCGTGCTTGGCCACGCAGTGGTGGGTGAACAGGGAGTACAGGAGGGGACTGAGCACGCACCCCTGAGGGGCCCCCGTGTTGAGGATCAGTGTGGCAGATGTGTTGTTACCTACCCTTACCACCTGGGGGCGGCCTGTCAGGAAGTCCAGGATCCAGTTGCAGAGGGAGGTGTTTAGTGTTTAGTTTAGTCTCCTGAGTGGCGCAGTGGTCTAAGGCACTGCATCGCAGTGCTAACTGTGTCACTAGAGATCCTGGTTCGAATCCAGGCTCTGTCGCAGCCGGCCGCGACCGGGAGACTCATGGGCGGCGCACAATTGGCCCAGCGTCGTCCAGGGTAGGGGAGGGAATGGCCGGCAGGGATGTAGCTCAGTTGATAGAGCATGGCGTTTGCAACGCCAGGGTTGTGGGTTCGATTCCCACAGGGGGCCAGTATAAAAAAAATATGTATTCACTAACTGTAAGTCGCTCTGGATAAGAGCGTCTGCTAAATGACTAAAATGTAATGTAAAATGTTTAGTCCCAGGGTCCTTAGCTTAGTGATGAGCTTTGAGGGCACTATGGTGTTGAACGTTGAGCTGCAGTCAATGAACAGCATTCTCACGTATGTGTTCCTTTTGTCCAGGTGGGAAAGGGCAGTGTGGAGTGCAATAGAGATTGCATCATCCGTGGATCTGTAGGGACGGAATAGCAAATTGGAGTGGGTCTAGGGTTTCTGGGAAGATGGTGTTGTTGTGAGCCATGACCAGCCTTTCAAAGCACTTAATGGCTACAGAAGTGAGTGCTACGGGTCGGTAGTCATTTTAGGCAGGTTACCTTGACTTTCTTGGGGACAGGGACTATGGTGGTCTACTTGAACCATGTAGGTATTACAGACTCGGTCAGGGACAGGTTGAAAAAGTCAGTGAAGACACTTGCCAGTTGGTCAGCGCATGTGCTGAGTACACATCCTGGTAATCCGTCTGGTCCTGTGGTCTTGTGAATGTTCACCTATTTAAAAAGGTCTTACTCACGTCGGCTACGGAAAGCGTGATCACACAGTCGTACGGAACAGCTGGTGCTCTCATGCATTCTTCAGTGTTGCTTGCCTCGAAGCACGCACAGAAGTCATTTAACTCATCAGGCAGGCTCATGTCACTGGGCAGCTAGCAGCTGGGCTTCCGTAATAGTTTGCAAGCCCTGCCACATCCGAGGAGCGTCAGAGCCAGTGTAGTAGGATTCAATCTTAGTCCTGTATTGACTCTTTGCCTGTTTGATGGTTCGTCTGAGGGCATAGCGGGATTTCTTATAAGCGTCCGGGTTAGAGTCCCGCTCCTTGAAAGCGGCAGCTCTACCCTTTAGCTCCGTGCGGATGTTGCCTGTAATCCATGGCTTCGGGTATGTACAGTGGGGGGAAAAAGTATTTAGTCAGCCACCAATTGTGCAAGTTCTCCCACTTAAAAAGATGAGAGGCCTGTAATTTTCATCATAGGTACACGTCAACTATGACAGACAAAATGAGAAAGAAAATTCCAGAAAATCACATTGTAGGATTTTTTATGAATTTATTTGCAAATTATGGTGGAAAATAAGTATTTGGTCAATAACAAAAGTTTCTCAATACTTTGTTATATACCCTTTGTTGGCAATGACACAGGTCAAACGTTTTCTGTAAGTCTTCACAAGGTTTTCACACACTATTGCTGGTATTTTGGCCCATTCCTCCATGCAGATCTCCTCTAGAGCAGTGATGTTTTGGGGTTGTCGCTGGGCAACACGGACTTTCAACTCCCTCCAAAGATTTTCTATGGGGTTGAGATCTGGAGACTGGCTAGGCCACTCCAGGACCTTGAAATGCTTCTTACGAAGCCACTCCTTCGTTGCCCGGGCGGTGTGTTTGGGATCATTGTCATGCTGAAAGACCCAGCCACGTTTCATCTTCAATGCCCTTGCTGATGGAAGGAGGTTTTCACTCAAAATCTCACGATACATGGCCCCATTCATTCTTTCCTTTACACGGATCAGTCGTCCTGGTCCCTTTGCAGAAAAACAGCCCCAAAGCATGATGTTTCCACCCCCATGCTTCACAGTAGGTATGGTGTTCTTTGGATGCAACTCAGCATTCTTTGTCCTCCAAACACAACGAGTTGAGTTTTTACCAAAAAGTTATATTTTGGTTTCATCTGACCATATGACATTCTCCCAATCCTCTTCTGGATCATCCAAAATGCACTCTAGCAAATTTCAGACGGGCCTGGACATGTACTGGCTTAAGCAGGGGGACACGTCTGGCACTGCAGGATTTGAGTCCCTGGCGGCGTAGTGTGTTACTGATGGTAGGCTTTGTTACTTTGGTCCCAGCTCTCTGCAGGTCATTCACTAGGTCCCCCCGTGTGGTTCTGGGATTTTTGCTCACCGTTCTTGTGATCATTTTGACCCCACGGGGTGAGATCTTGCGTGGAGCCCCAGATCGAGGGAGATTATCAGTGGTCTTGTATGTCTTCCATTTCCTAATAATTGCTCCCACAGTTGATTTCTTCAAACCAAGCTGCTTACCTATTGCAGATTCAGTCTTCCCAGCCTGGTGCAGGTCTACAATTTTGTTTCTGGTGTCCTTTGACAGCTCTTTGGTCTTGGCCATAGTGGAGTTAAGAGTGTGACTGTTTGAGGTTGTGGACAGGTGTCTTTTATACTGATAACAAGTTCAAACAGGTGCCATTAATACAGGTAACGAGTGGAGGACAGAGGAGCCTCTTAAAGAAGAAGTTACAGGTCTGTGAGAGCCAGAAATCTTGCTTGTTTGTAGGTGACCAAATACTTATTTTCCACCATAATTTGCTAATAAATTCATAAAAAATCCTACAATGTGATTTTCTGGAGAGAAAAAAATCTCAATTTGTCTGTCATAGTTGACGTGTACCTATGATGAAAATTACAGGCCTCTCTCATCTTTTTAAGTGGGAGAACTTGCACAATTGGTGGCTGACTAAATACTTTTTTCCCCACTGTACGTACGGTCACTGTAGGGACGACGTCATCGATGCACTTATTGATGAAGCCGGTGACTGATGTGGTATACTCCTCAATGCCATCGGATGAACCCCGGAACATATTCCAGTCTGTGCTAGCAAAACAGTCCTGTAGCTTAGTATCTGCGTCATCTGACCACTTCTTTATTGACTGAGTCACTGACGCTTCCTGCTTTAGATTTTGCTTGTAAACAGGAATATAAATCAGGAGGATATAATTATGGTCAGATTTGCCAAATGGAGGGCGAGGGAGAGCTTTGTACGCGTCTCTGTGTGTGGAGTAAAGGTGGTCTACAGCTTTTTTCCCTCTGGTTGCACATGTTATATGCTGGTAGAAATTAGGTAAAATGGATTTAAGTTTTACTGCATTAAAGTCCCTGGCCACTAGGAGCGCCGCGTCTGGATGAGCATTTTCTTGTTTGCTTATGGCTTTATATGGCTTATGGCGTTTACAGCTCGTTGAGTGCGGTCTTAGTGCCAGCATTGGTTTGTGGTGGTAAATAGACAGCTATGAAAAATATAGATGAAAACTCTCTTGGTAAATAGTGTGGTCTACAGCTTATCATGAGGTACTCTACCTCAGGCGAGCAAAACCTAGAGATGTCTTTAATATTAGATTTACACCAGTTGTTATTGACAAATGGATACAGACCACTCGTGGGCTCTCGTCTTACCGGAGGTAGCTGTTCTGTCTTGCCGATGCACGGAAAACCCAGCCAACTGTATATTATCCATGTCGTCGTTCAGCCACATTACAGTTTTTAATGTCCAGTTGGTAGGATAGTCTCGAACGGAGCTCATCCAGTTTATTCTCCAATGATTGCACGTTGGCCAATAGGACAGATGGTAGAGGCGGGTTACCCACTCGCCGACGAATTCTCACAAGGTACCCGGATCTGCATCCCCTGTCTCGGTGTCATCTCTTCATGTGAATGATGGGGATTTGGGCCTGGTCCGGTAGCAGCAGTAAATCCTTTGCGTCTGTCTCATTAAAGAAAAAAACTATTTGTCCAGCTCGAGGTGAGTAATCGCTGTTCTGATATCCAGAAGCTCTTTTCGGTCATAAGAGACAGTGGCAGAAACATATGTGTGAGTGTGTGTGTGTGAGTGAGTGTGTGTACCTTGTGCAGGCAGGTGTCCACCACGGCGTTGCAGACTCTCTCCAGGTCGTCAAACACCTGTAGCCGGGACCTGACGAACTCGCACAGCTCCTCGTTAGACATCACATCCCAGATCCCATCGCACGCCAGCACCACAAACTCATCCCCCTCTGCAGCACGCTCCAACACACACACCTGGGGGAGGAACACACACTTTCAGCTGGAGAGATCACACACCTCAACAAGGAGAAAGAACTAGAAGCTGTTCCAATCAACATGCCACAGTAACAAAAGGCATTTTAAACACACACACACACACCTCTGGCTCTGGGCTGACCAGCTGTTCTGTGGGACCCTTCCCATCCACACACTTGTAGTCATAGTCCCCCAAGGCTCTGGACACGGCCAGGGAACCATTCACCCTCTGGATCATCACTGATCCCCCTGCGTTCTGGATACGCTCCTTCTCTCTGGGGTTACACGGCTTGTGGTCCTAAAGGAGGTAAAAATAATTGTACCTGTGTATATCTAGTGTATAGTATTGTACCTGTGTATATCTAGTGTATAGTATTGTACCTGTGTATATCTACAGTGCATTTGGAAAATATTCAGACCACTTGACTTTTTCCACTTTTTGTTACGTTACAGCCTTATTCTTCAATGGATTTTTTTTGAAAATCCTCAGCAATCTACACACAATACCCCATAGTGACAAAGCAAAAACAGGTTTTTGCAAATTTTTGCAAATGTATTAAAAATAAACAATTGAAATACCTTATTTACATAAGTATTCAGACCCCTTGCTATGAGACTCGAAATTGAGCTCAGGTGCATCCTGTTTCCATTGATCACCTTGAGATGTTTCTACAACTTGATTGGAGTCCATCTGTGGTAAACTCAATTCATTGGACATGATTTGGAAAGGCACACATCTGTCTTATAAGGTCCCACAGTTGACAGTGCATGTCAGAGCAAAAACCAAGGCATGAGGTCGAAGGAATTGTCCGTAGAGCTCCGAGAGAGGATTGTGTCAAGGCACAGATCTGGGGAAGGGTACCAAAATATTGTTTTTCAGCGGCAGGGACTGGAAGACTAGTCAGGATCTAGGCAAAGATGAACGGAGCAAAGTACAGAGAGATCCTTGATGAAAACCTGCTCCAGAGCACTCAGGACCTCATACTGGGGCGAAGGTTCACCTTCCAACAGGACAACGACCCTAAGCACACAGCCAAGACAACGCAGGAGTGGCTTCGGGACAAGTCTCTGAATGTCTTTGAGTGGCCCAGCCAAAGCCCGGACTTAAACCCGATCGAACATCTCTGGAGAGACCTGAAAATAGCTGTGCAGCATCGCTTCCCATCCAACCTGACAGAGCTTGAGAGGATCTGCTGAGAAGAATGGGAGAAACTCCCCAAATACAGGTGTGCCAAGCTTATAGCATCACACCCAAGAAGACTCTAGGCTGTAATTGCTGCCAAAGGTGCTTCAACAAAGTACTGAGTAAAGAGTCTGAATAATTACGTAAATGTAATCTGTTTTTTATTTGTAATAAATTAGCAAACATTTCTAAAAACCTGTTTTTGCTTTGTCATTATGGGGTATTGTGTGTAGATTGAGGGAAAAAAACATTTAAATCAATTTTAGAAAAGGCTGTCACCTAACAAAATGTTAAAAAGGTCAAGGGGTCTGAATACTTTCCGAAGGCACTGTAGTGCAGGGTTCTCCAACCCTGTTCCTAGAGAGCTACCCTCCTGTAGGTTTTCACTCCAACCCCAGTTGTAACTAACCTGATTCAGCTTATAAAACAGCTAATTATTAAAACCAGGTGCGCTAGATTAAGAGTTGGAGTGAACCTACATGACGGTAGCTCTCCAGGAACAGGGTTGGAGAGTCCTGGTCTAATGTATAGTATTGTACCTGTGTAGAGAATCCGACTCGTCCTTCTCGACTCAGCACGGCCCGGGAGTCGCCACAGTTTATGAAGTAGAGGTGGGAGGGGCTTAGCAGCACGCCCACCGCCGTGGAGCCACTGCGATCCAGCCCCTGCCGGAGGTCCGAGAAGCTGCGCATGTACTCGTCGATCTTAAGGAAGCCGGCGCGGATCCCATCCTTCACGCCCTCCACTGAGCCCATCCCCGGGGTGAACTCCGCCCCCCCTAATAGGATGTGCTCCAGCAGGTTGGCAGAGCAGTAGTTGGCGACGCGGGAGCCGGCGTGCCCGTCGTAGACGGCGAAGAAGGACCAGTCGGTGAGGCCATGGGGAAGACCCACCATGGCAGTGTGGGCATCCTCCATCTCCACCCGCCAGCCCTGCATGCTACTCAGGCCATAGTGCAGCCCGTTGCCCTGGCCATGGGCTGTGTGCTTCTCTGTCTTAGGCTTGTCCAGGAACGCCCCCATACCTACACACTGCTGACAGAGAGAGGGGAGGGCAGAGAGGAGGGGGGGGGGGGGGGGAGAGGGGGACACAGGAGAGAGAACATAAGTTAAACTCCATTATCAAGGTCTGGGAACTTTGGGTGCAGTTACCCTTTAATGCAAGTGTGCACCAGCCAGAGACCGTTGTTTGGTTAGCGGTGTTTCTGTAGCACATGAGATGGGGTTTGCAAAACAAATGGCCACTGGATTGATGCAAATAATCATGATATCCTTCTGCCAGGTAGGCATAGGCCACTTTGTAGCTGGTTAACATTTAATTTAGAAGGTTTTTGGGAAAGCCTTTCCATCTACCAGAAGACTGTTTCATTAGCATCATCGCTAACGGCTACACACACAGACAGGGGCATTCCTGTGCCGTTTCAGAAAGTTACATGAAAATACGAATCACTGATGCATTCTTATGATTAACTTGGGCTAATTAATGCATTTAGTTGATATCCTACTAATAAGTTCAATTTAAAAAAATTATATTGTTGAATTGCTTTTTAATGTCTGGATTCCATGATTGTCTGCATTGTTCTGTGGTACAATCAATTATACAATCATAAAGTCAATTTGACTTTGCTTTTACTAATCTAACTACATAACATAATGGTAATCATTTGAATGGTAAATCTCTATTGATAAACTGGGTAAATCAACATGTAGCCTAGGCCTATTCACAATACAGGTGAATGCATAGTCAAAAGGCTGATTTCATGGGGCTACCGATGAAAAACAATCATTTTCCCTGTCATTTGGGACTTTTTTTTATTGTACTTAACAACATTTGCATAGAAGAAGCAATCTCTTCTTTAATACACAGTGAGAGAGAGAAGAGAGGCGAAGGAGACTTAAGGCGTCCGCATGCTTCCCAGCCGAAACAGTTCGGTGGAGTTCGTGCATATATTATGATGACATTTTGTGACGTTTGAGGGATTTTTCGGCTGTTCCGGCACACAAAAAAACGTTCTGGATGGTAGCCGAAGTTCTGAGCCCAAGTCTACGCCCCTTTGTGGGTGATGGGTCAACAGTAGGGATTCTTCAATAAAGTCTGTTGTCATTCAACCAGACGACTCGTTTTCATGCACGTTCTTTTCATTGAAAATTACTGCACCAAACATCTTAGTTAGATGTAAAATTGCGCGACTACGATCTCCTCGGCAAAAACGTAAAAACTCATGAAATCTGTCATTAATTATCTTAGATTATTTCTGACTATTTTGAGGAAGTTTATACTGGCTACAGTGTCTCAAAATGGACAAACATTACTATTGCCGCTTTTTTTCTAGTTTTTCAAGCGAAGGTATTTTAAGGGAGCATGCGAGCACACTCGTTCGGTTAGCCGAAGCATGCCAACGCCTTTACCTTGCTTCAAAGTAGCCAAGCCAAAATCAGTTTCCATAAACGTGGAGGCAATTATTTTATAAAGGCTTCCATGTGCCATTTAAACAAGTAGCCTATTTCTATCATGTTCTATTGGTTTTCAAATCAGCATTTCCATTGTGCAGTAGCCAAAGGCACAATCCTAGTCATAAGTAAATCATGATCGTTGTTCTATTTCTAAACTGATATTTTCATCTCTATCTCATGAAACGCTGAAATTTGCAGTGCGCATTTGAAAACGGTGTTTTCCCGCTAATTTCATTATGGAACCAACATTCACGCATAGCCTACTACCGTGTGCGCAACTATAATTGGAATAAATAATAGTTCATCAACATTTTAAACTAAACGTTCTGATCTGTTGCGTCAGCCTCAATGCTTTAAAGTTATTTTGATGTACTGGTGTATGAATTTGGGATCTATTGTCCCACAACTGTCCCAGAGTCTGTTTGGAATAGGCCATTTTATTATTGCACAGAATGACAAACTGAGCAATATAATAGGTGAATAATTCTACTATGGGGGATAGCAGATTGACATAGGCTGGTGACTTTGCAGTTCCTTACTCATCTTGTTGGCTGAGGAAAGGTAAATGTGGACAGTTATTCTAACATCTTCAAAGTGCGCTTCGGAATTCGGTAAGAAGGACGCACGCCGTTGCATCCTCGAGTTGCATGTTCTGTTAAAATGAATTACCCTAATATAAATTAGATTTGTCATTCTGAGCACCGTGGGTGGACGCCCTAATCAGGGTACGCACCCAATGCATATGGGTCCGGTAAATTTGCAGTTCAAATATCCAGCGCCACATTTTCCTAACGAAAACCCTGGATTGCAGTGGTCCTTCAGGACAGGCTAAAGCTAGCAAAAGAGTAAGTGGAGGAAGGACCGCACGCTCGCGCTACAAGGGGGCATTGGATGCGCTGATACAGACTTGATCCTCTCTCAATCAGTAGATGACACGAGACATGACAGAAGTACCTAAAGTAACACAAATTCTAGTACCGAACCGTTTTTCACGTTCTAGTATCAAAAAGTACCAAAGTTGCATTATACATTTTAGTCACTGGCACCCTAGCGACCAATAAAAAAAAATGCCGTCGCACTGCCACGACAAAAACTCGCAAATCAAAGTGTTTTGGTCGCAGTCTCGAACCCTGAGGTAGCAAATGTGAAAAAGCAGTGTAATTCCCATGCTGCAGTATTACATGCTTGTTTTGGAGCTTCTCGTCAGTCATCCATTTAAATTGTTGTGTTGCTTCAAGTGCACTTGAAGCTTTTCAAATTTCTACAACTTCCTGCATCTATCCAACAGTCTGAGGTTGTGTGTGTGTGTGTGTGTGTGTGTACAGAGGGAGAATGAATGAAGACTCATCAGCCAAGCACCGAGGTCAAGACATAAGACTCTTTAGTACAAAACCTAACCCTAAGACCATTTAGATCTCTCACACAAGCACATGCAGATCATTACTAAACTAGAAATAGAGTCATGTTAATGGGAAAGCTGTCATCAGCCATGCCCACTGCTCAATAAACACACTACCAATAGACCAGACTACAGCCCAGTGCAGCCCCTAATGGGTTGGTGTAAAATATAGTACCCACTGTCTACAGACTAATGATGATGGTGAGTGAACGAGTACCTACAAACTCTGGACTGAGCCGCAGTGTAATGACAGAGGCTGGGCTTAAACCAACAACCTTGGCTGTGGCTAGAGAGAACTGCGCTAGAAGTAACCACGACACTAATATGTTTAACCACTGGCCAGCAAACACACACACACACACACACTGCACGGCAGGCATGTGCCCAAAAAAGGCTTGCAGGCACGAGGAGTGACTACCCAGCTAGCCTCAGAGTGTGTGTGTGTGTGTGTGTGTGTGTGTGTGTGTGTGTGTGAGTGTGTGTGTGTGTGTGTGTGTGTGGAGCACATACGCCATGATGCTCTGTAGAAACACACACACAGTCTATTAATAGTGTGTCCTGGTTTGGGTTTCAGGCTCAGCGTTGGGAAGACACCCCATCCATCCCTCTACTAGCCCCTCCATCCATCCATCAATCCATCTAGTAGCCCCTCTATCCATCCATCTACTAGCCCCTCCATCCATCCATCCATCTACTCCCCCTAGCAATCCATCTACTCCCCCTAGCAATCCTTCTACTAGCCCCCTCCCTCTACCCCCTCCATTCCTCCCTCTACTAGCCCCCTAGCCCTCCACCTATCATTCCCTCTACTAGGGACCCCTCCATCATTCCCTCTACTAGGGCCCCCTCTACTCATCCCTCTACTAGGGCCCCCTCTATACATCCCTCTACTAGCCCCCCCCTCTATCCCTCCCTCTACCCCCTCCATTCCTCCCTCTACTAGCCCCCTATACCCTCCATTCCTCCCTCTACTAGCCCCCTAGCCCTCCCCCTATCATTCCCTCTACTAGCCCCCCCCTCTATCCCTCCCTCTACTAGCCCCCCCCATCCCTCCCTCTACTAGCTCTCTATACATCCCTCTACTAGCCCCTCCATCCATCCATCTACTAGCCCCCCCTCTATCCCTTCCTCTACTAGCCCCCCTCTATACATCCCTCTATCCCTCCCTCTACTAGCCCCCCCCTCTACTAGCCCTCTATACATCCCTCTACTAGCCCCCCCCTCTACTAACCCCCTATACATCCCTCTACTAGCCCCTCCCTCTACCCCTCCCTCTACTAGCCCCCCCTCTACTAGCCCCCTATACATCCCTCTACTAGCCCCCCTCTCCTAGCCCCCCCTCTATCCATCCCTCTAACTAGCCCCCTCTCTATCCATCCCCCTATCCCTCCCTCTACTAGCCCCCCCTCTATCCATCCCCCTACTTCCCTCCTCTCTATCCCTCCTCTACTAGCCCCCCCTCTATCCCCCAACTAGCCCCCCCTCTACTCGCCCCCCTCTCTATCCTCCCTCTACTTCCCTCCCTCTACTAGCTCCTCCATCCATCCATCAATCCATCTAGTAGCCCCTCTATCCATCCATCTACTAGCCCCCCCCTCTATCCATCCCTCTACTAGCCCCCCCCTCTATCCATCCCTCTACTAGCCCCCCCCTCTATCCATCCCTCTACTAGCCCCCCCTCTATCCATCCCTCTACTAGCCCCCCCCTCTATCCATCCCTCTACTAGCCCCCCCCTCTATCCATCCCTCTACTAGCCCCCCCCTCTATCCATCCCTCTACTAGCCCCCCTCTACATCTCCTTACTAGCCCCCCCCTTATCCATCCCTCTACTAGCCCCCCCTCTATCCATCCCTCTACTAGCCCCCTCTCATCCATCCTCTCTACTAGCCCCCCCTCTATCCATCCTATACTAGCCCCCCCCATCTATCCATCCCCTCTACTAGCCCCCCCTCTTATCCATCCTTACTAGCCCCCCTCTATCCATCCCTCTACTAGCACCCCCCTCTATCCATCCCTTCTACTAGCCCCCCCCACTTCTATCCATCCCTCTACTAGCCCCCCCCCCCTCTATCATCGCATCTACTAGCCCCCCCCCCTCTATCCATCCCTCTAGCTAGCCCCACCCCCCCTCTATCCATCCCCTCGCTAGCCCCCCCTCTATCCATCCCT